TCCCAAATTCCCAGCTTATACAACCCAGGTGCGCGACTAAGTGCGCGATCGCGCACTGGGCGCGCACTTAGGGCAGAATGATGTGCAAAGTGCGTGACCAGGTGCGCAGTCGCGCATGTCCTGTCCGGGAAAAGCCCTATTTTGCTAAAAAAGGGTATTTTCATCCGTAATTTGTTTTGGGGGCGTATTAAATACCCCAAAACACCACTTTTGACACACTTTTGACATACCTTCGACCTAGGGAAGCTTAGGAGAAGAAGGAGAAGCAAGAGCACAGGGATTTCATCCTTCCTTCCTCACTCAAATCCGAGTTTGGATTGTATTTATATTTTTCTCTATTTTTGTTTCATTTGTGAAGAACTCCTCCATGTCTATGGAGTAGAACCATTTGGGTTTTGATGAATTTGGTGTATTGATGGTTGTTTGTGGATTATAACTCTATGTTTATGTATTTGAATCATTTTTGGAAGATTTAATTGTTGCATTTATGTTCACTTATTCTTGTAATCGAAAGAGGCATAACTTGTGATATAATTGCACTATGTTGTTGGTTGAGTTCATAGATTCTTCTAAGTAATCGAAAGAGGCTAGTTGAATCTTTGATTAAACCTAGTTAGGAGGATAATCGAAAGAGGTTCTCTTAAAGACCAATCCATTGCGAATTCTTGCATATCTTCACCGAGCTTAAATTGGTTCATATTGTGAAGTTGAAACTTAATTGAGAGAGGATTTTCTACTAAACATTTGTACTGATAATTAAGTGAATTCGAGAGACTCACTTGAACATTAGAAGTAAATTATCTAGAGTTAGATCCCGAACAATTATCTTGCACCTAACCTATCAACCCATATTTTCTCCCATTGATAACTTCCTTGCTTACCTTTGTTGAGATTGTCATTAGTCAATAGTTTAAGTTCTTATTTAGTTTCAATTTTTAATTGTATAAATCTCAATTGTTGATCCTCCTGGATAGCAATCGAGCTACAAACTACGAGAATACTGTTTAAATCCAATCCATATGGAGACGATAATTATACTATACTATCTTTGACTAGCAAGCACAATTTAAGTGTGTGTTTTGCGCTCGTCAGATATTCAGAAAAAGAAGGATTAGAAGCAACATGAATCACTAAGACCAGGAAAAAAGACACACAACAATGGAGGAAGGAAAAGAAGGCACAAGGTTTTGATGATAAAAACACGTAAAGAACAAATGAGTGTCATCACATCTCTATTTATAAGAATCCGGGCACCAAAACCAAAAGATTATGCCATCATTACCCAGCACTGGAATCGAAACGGCAGCCTCAACTGACAGTTGCACGGTAAACGACGCAAAGCATCGAAAAAATACGCCATAATGACGCATGATGTCATGACGTCACTCTAGTGCAGAAATGACGTAACCCCAAAAGTTGCAGCTCACGAAGGGCCACATTGCCAGCTCGTCCCAACCTTAACTGCCCGATCCACTCGCCTACTCTTCTCGACCATAACCAACAAAATCTGCTCATCGAGGTTGTACGAGGACGGCCTCAATAAGCGGAGGGACTAACTGTATAGGTCAAAATCTACCGCCGAGCATTTAGGGCGAGGTAGTATTAAGGGAAGGGTCGATCGAGGTCGATCAGGAAACGACAAAGCTCGTGATCGGGATATCAACAATGACCGAGGTCGAGCAACGTGGAAAGGGCTGTAACAGCTAGTTTTTAGAATAGTATAATAGTGGGAGTATTCTAAAGAATATTCTGGGCACATGTACTATTAGGGTTTTTTTAGGGATGTGTCCCATATAAAGAGGAAAAAGATAGGGAAAAGAGGCATGTGATATTTACCGGATAAGAACAAACATCTGATAAAGATTCTCTCTCTTATAAAAGATACAAAGATTACATTTTCATCAAGATTCTTGTTCATATTATTCCACACTTTTTCATCAGATCCGAGAATAGTTCGAGCATTGTAGGATTTATCTGTCACTCATCATTGTCAGGAAGAACAATCATTTAGTTCATTCATCATTGGGTGAAACACTTTTTCTATTTACTTAAATGCAATTTATTGTTATTTATTATTAGATACTCCTTTATTATTACTCATACCCTTTGGAATATTTAATATATGTTATTGTCAGTCTCCCACTATATCTGTTCCACATTATATACATGTTTTGAAGTCGCATCTAGGGATATTATCATTAACTAGGTTTAATCCACCATTACATAAATATAATTATATAAATACAATAGTTTTAACTGAAAGTTATACTTTTTGGTCAAACAGACAGTTTGTTTAATGATCAAAATTTTACTATTTGAAACGTAAGATAAAGTCACGAGTTCAAAATCAATTAACTTTGGCTACTTCTATTCAGTTGAACATTTTCTCTAGACCCTTATCAATTATGTTGAAGAAAAAGAAAAAAAGGAATGCCGATGAAATGCACTAAAATAAAGTGGAAGCAAAATGGATATAAATGATTCATATGATCGACCATAATTAATTTGAAACTGAGGTATAATTAATTATATAGCACGAAAAATTAATGTGGCACATATAGAACAGAGTTAGATCTTTATGTGTTGACTATAGACTGATTATTTATGTGCTATCATTACTCCGAAGGAAACAGAAAAAGAAAGAAAAAAGATGAAGATTTTTTGTATGTTTTTCTTGTTTCCTGGAAAACCCAAACAAACAAACAAGAATAATGGGACCGAACCAGGGGGAAAAAAACATACAAAACAAAAGCAAATTAATGCCAATTTGTTACGTCTAGATCAATATGTTTTAATTAGTTTTTATTTTCTCAATATGTTTTTAACTAATGCAACTTGCAGCTAGAAATCCGCAGAAGTAGTACTCTAATTTTATTTTTCTTAACATGCGTAATACTCTTGTTTATGAAATCATGTGAATAGGTTTGGTATATGGTGCAATTTTTTCCTAAACGTCAAAATCATTGGTTTTGATACTGACTACATTATAATGGTATATTGCATATCATGTTCCTGCCAAATGTATGGTAATATATTCAAAGATTATTAGATTATGACATGCAAATTCATGTTCGCCAAGCTTTAAAAGCAGTTCCATTTTTCAGTAAAACAAAAAAACAATTATAGAACTGGGAAAACTCTAATTAATCTCCGTGCAAGTAGACAAGTTTGACAAACATATACTGTTTGCTTTGCCTTTCTCCTTGTGGAAAATAAAGAACTTTATACCAAGAATTTAGGACTTGCAAAATCCAATTTAAAGATTGCATCATATAGCTTAACTACGTACTATAATAAGCACATGGATTTGGCTGTTTTCTAGTTTAATATCTTTAGTGCTTACAACATCTAAAGAAACTCCTAAAGAGCAAAGGTTTTGTGCAATTGCAATTATTGAGTAATTTTGATTAAGTTGACCTACAATATAAAATTACTTTTTACATAAAACTTAATATGATAACCTGAAAAATAAAACAATGACCCCTTAAACATCTTTATACAGTGAATTTATATATGTAACATAAACTCATTCTTAAAATGGTGGGCATAAATCATTTGTCTGATTGTCCGGTGACTTAATTCATCTTTGGGATATTACAAAATAATTAAAAGCATATATATTTTCTAGCTCATACATTATATATACATAACTAAGACCATTAGAAATATCTTGTTTACGCAGTTCAATTAATGTTAGGACTTCAAAAAAATAATGTTCTTCATCAAGAGGCCTTGATTTACAGTATAACATCGCATCATTCTAAACTACCAAAAAATAATGTTCTGATCTAGCGATAAATGAGTAATTAACTACAATAATTGACAGAAGGAACCAGCTAGCCTAAATGGAGCAACTGGATAGGGTTCATTGGATCCCATATTTTTTTATTTTTAAATAAGCATGCCCTCCTAGGAATGGCTGATAATCTCGTTGACTTTTCTCATCCAGCGAATGACCAACAGACCAAGGTAAGATTCTTTTTTTTAAGCGTTTGAACATAAAAATTGTAATTTTTAACAAAATTAGTATTTGGAATTAAGTTGAAAAATAATATTTAAAATTTAAAATTATGTTTGAATATGCATTTCACATGAAAAAATATTTAAGTTTTGTGAGCGTGAAAAAAAGTTTTTCGAAAAACTAACTTATAAAATTTTATGGACAAACAAATTTTTGATCTTTTTTTTTAAAAAGTAAAAATTTGTTGGGTTCCCATACGTTTGAGGTCACGCGTTCAACTTTTTATGAAACAGACTAATTCTTGTAATTATATAGATTCACTTTGTTATTAATATGAGTCTATCTTATCATATTCAGTAGATTCACTTTGTGATTTTATAGTGGGTATATTATCCGCATCATTTCTATGAAAAATATGAGTTTTAATTTGACTAGATCTTACCACATTTGACAAATTTTTGGATAACATTTCTAAAGAGGATTATAAAATTAGCAATCACTGCAAATACACCAAATAATAGAGCTTTTAGTAGTTCCTAGCTAGTGCTTCGGGATAAATACTTATTCGTAACGAGTGTTTATATCAACCAAATAAATATATGACACATATCTTCATAAATATGATTATCACTAAATCATAGTTAATTAACATATATCCTACCTTATTTTATTACTTAATTAACAATGATAAATTAATATAACTTGTTAGTTTAACACCCGATGAGATTAAATTTTTACCATAGTTCTTCTGCTCCATAAGGAAATGGCTCCATGGTAGAAGATAATTAAGTCATGAATTGATGAAAACTATATGAATTAAGCGTATACTGGCCAAAAAACTAGATGTCGGCATCAGAAAAACGAGCAATAATATGCAATGAGATAGTTGGAGTTAAATGTGAAAAGAAAATGTCCACATCAGAAAAACGAGTCAAGTAAAGATTCAATAAACAAAATTAAAAAGGACCCCAAAGGCTCAATAATTTATCATATTGGGTCAAATTTAGGGGCCCTTTTCTATATATATAAAGCTCTGTGATAAACACAATATCAAGACCATACACTCTTGTGTGACTCTCTCTACATACCTTCTCTCTATCTATTTTTCTCTCATGGCAGAAGAAAAATTAGCCAGTAATAATGGTGTTCATAGCCAACCTCAGATAGCTAGTATTCGAGATTTCGATCCTCCAAAGAAACCAAAAACAAACAAATATGCAATAGCTTGTTCTTTCTTAGCTTCTTTGGCTTCAATCTTGCTTGGTTATGGTAAGAATTCTCTCCCTTCTCATCTATATATCTGCGTCTGTATCTTGTAAGACAAAAACATTTAATGTTCCTTTGGACAAAGCTTTCTTTAATTTGTAGGACATGCATTCAACAGGTTTTTATGGAATTTGCTTAGAACTTTGTCTAACACTCCGTTAATCCCATTCTCTTTTTCTTCATTTTTAGTTAAAGAAAACTTTTCTTCTAATTCGTTTTCATGCATAACATATTGTGATAAAGCATGAAAAGGAAACGTATTTCAAGCGCCTTCCTTCTTCCTTGCGGATGCATGTGGCATATAATTAACCAATTCAATTAAATCTAGCATTTTCGACACAAAATATCAAAATATATATATATATATATATGAAATAAATTCAAAAGTCGTGCAACGAACTTAATTGTAAAATTTAAAGATTGAACCCCTTAGATTTAAATTTTATAAATATTAGCTTTATAGTATATTATTTAATGGTTTGGTTCATGTAGATATTGGAGTAATGAGTGGAGCCATCATCTACATTCAGAAAGACCTCCATATCACCGATATCCAAGTGGAGATTCTGGTAGGAATCCTCAATGTCTACTCTCTCTTTGGTTCTGCCGCCGCCGGCCGTACATCCGACTGGATTGGTCGCCGGTACACTATGGTGGTGGCCGCCGCAATCTTCTTCGCCGGAGCTCTTCTGATGGGTTTTGCTACCACATATGCATTTCTCATGGTGGGTCGATTCGTCGCCGGAGTCGGAGTCGGGTACGCTCTCATGGTTGCTCCGGTTTACACAGCCGAAGTTTCGCCGGCGTCTTCCCGCGGTTTTCTTACGTCATTCCCGGAAGTTTTCATTAATGGAGGTACGTGGTAATTTTAATTAACTCTCTTGTTTCGTCTCTACAACTTGGGACTTTGAGTATTATGTTGAAATTGTCGTTTTCTTTCATCAATAATGACAAACAACAACATGTGTTATAAATAAATGTAACCTGACAGCAGAATCCAGGAAGACAAAGAAAAAGATCAGGGAGAGACTATGGAGTGAGAGATTTCCTCTAATATGCCAGCTTTCCTATTCCATTATTTTTTAATTCAAATTATATGTTATAATATCGTAAAAATAATTTGTACTTTATTCAGTAGTAGTAGTAGATTACGTGCCATCATCAACTAAAATTTTCTATAAATCTGTTTTTAAATAAAATGTGAATATAAGAATTATTTTCAAAGTCTTGGTTGGTCTAGTAAAGTCCTAATTGGTAACGTAAAGGCATCATGACAATATCTGTTAGGAGCGAAATTCAAACGGTCAAATGTAACTGTGACAAGTTAATGTAAGGCTAAATTCGATAAGTTCCTATAAATGAATAAAGTTGTCAGAAAAAATTATTTTCATCAAATTAATGGTACCTTGTGATTTTATCAGACTTATATATATTTCCTATTTTTTTTTATAATAGGAAATTATGCAAATGATGAATTGACTAAAGCTTGATATATGTACTAAGAATTTAACTATATACACTTAACAGTTTATTTACATTATAAATTATGTTTTAACATATTTTAGTATATCATTGGTCTTAATTTTTAGATTATTAGAAATTATACATAATTATTCCATCTGTTTCAATTTAGATGAGGTAGTTTGATTCGACATTGAGTTTAAGAAAAAAAAAGACTTTTAAAACTTGTGATCTTAAAAGCTTAAGGGGTAAAAAAAATTTAGGACCATGATATTTGTGTGGTTATAAAAGCTTTTTATTAAGAATAAAATAAAGAGTTTAAAGTTAAAAGCAAAAAGAAAATTAGGTTATCTAATTTGAGTGAATAACTTTTAGTTGACTATAGTGTAAACCTCAAATATTCATTGTACATTTCCTCGTAAGTAGATCTACTTATGCATTATTTCAACATGCTGTTAAAATCGTGCTTAAATTTGTTAATGACAGGTATATTGCTGGGATATGTATCAAACTTCGCGTTTTCAAGACTTCCAACTCACTTGAGTTGGCGATTCATGCTTGGAATTGGAGCAGTCCCGTCAGTATTCTTAGCCGTAAGTGTACTCGCCATGCCTGAGTCACCTCGTTGGCTCGTAATGCAGGGTCGACTCGGCGATGCAAGGCGAGTTCTGAACAAAACTTCTGATTCTTTAGAAGAAGCTCAGCTAAGACTCGCCGATATCAAAGAAGCCGCCGGCCTACCGGAACACTGCAACGACGACATAGTTGAAGTACCCAAACGCCCTAAAGGCGACAACGTATGGCGGGAATTGATCTTCTCACCAACGCCGGCCGTCCGTCACATACTACTCACCGGCGTCGGAATTCATTTTTTTCAGCAAGCAAGTGGAATCGACGCCGTCGTTTTGTATAGTCCGAGAATTTTTGAAAAAGCAGGGATTAAATCCGATCACGACAAGTTGCTCGCCACTGTAGCCGTTGGATTTGTTAAAACAATTTTCATACTTGTAGCCACATTCATGCTCGACAAATCCGGCCGGCGGCCGTTGCTGTTAACCAGTGTCGCCGGAATGGTGCTGTCGTTGATGCTACTCGCCACCGGCCTTACAATCATTGACCAATCGGAGCAAAAAGTAGTTTGGGCTATTGCACTTAGTATAACAATGGTGTTGGCTTACGTGGCACTTTTCTCAATCGGGATGGGTCCAATAACGTGGGTTTACAGTTCGGAGATTTTCCCCTTGAGGCTACGGGCAACTGGGTGCAGTATAGGGGTGGCGGTAAACAGGGTAACAAGTGGAGTAGTGTCAATGACGTTTTTGTCCCTGGAAAAGGCGATAACAATTGGCGGTGCGTTCTTTTTGTACGCCGGATTAGCGGCGGTGGCGTTTGTGTTTTTCTTCACCTTGATGCCGGAAACACAAGGGAAGACTCTAGAAGAAATGGAGGCATTGTTTGGAACTTTCTGGAACTGGAGGAAAACGGCAAGAGAGCTGAAAGAAGCGAAGATAACGGAGAAGACGGAGAAGAACAGTAACGATAACGGCCAAATTCAGATGGGTATTGCACCAGCTATTAGCAGTTAAAGTGGCTGATATTGTTTATATGGGTAAATTGGGAAAAGAAAATTGTATTATTTTGATAAAAGAAGATATCAGAGATAGAGAGCATTATATGAAAGGAGACAGCAATTTCCCAATTTCATGCATTAATGCAAGTTATGTAAATCCGAAAGTCCTACTGTTCCACATAATGCTCTTTAATCATTAATACGTATGAAAAAATCGCAGGTCCTAATACTAAGTCAATCTTTGTGATAGTTTGGGTAACAAACAACTATAAGGCGTGTTCATTTCCGACTTATGACAAATATAACATTTTTGAGTTAAATCCACACCTTACTATTTAACCCAAAAAATAGTTTTCAAGGTCAAAGCAATAATTTTATATGACGGGCCACAAACAACAGATTCAATCCGAAAGATATAAATTTTCGTTAATACAACATGATAGAGAAATAAAAAATAAATTCAATGACAAATAATGTAATAAAAATAAAGCAAAGAAGAAATAATTCTTATTGAATGATCCTTGATAGGATGACGAGCCGAACAAAGCTTGAAGGGCCGAACTATGGCTAATTTGGGAGCAAGATACTATGAATTACAATATATATAATTGTAGAGAAGAAAATTAGATTCCCCTCGTGGTGATAAAAGTGTGCCTATTTATAGGGCTAAATCTAAGCAACCATTATCCTTGAATTATGGATCCATTATGAGCATTTACTCAATCTATCCGTTACTTTTGGAAGACTCGTAACAACTGTATAAATGTTGGAATTGCTAATTCCGTAACTGATGAGTTAATTCCGTAACTGATGAGCTAATTCCGTAACTGATGAGTTAATTCCATAACTGATGAGTTAATTCCGTAACTAATGAGTTAATCCCGTGCCTGTTGAGTCAATCCCGCGCCTGTTGAGTTAATCTCGTGCATGTTGAGTCAATCCCGTAATTGATTGCCTTGTTCTAACAGTTACAACTATTTATTGCATTTATTGTACGTTACATAATTAATTTTTAACTGATGGCATAATGATGGTAAATCCCATGTAATCCGGGATTAATTGATTCTTTACTCATCTGTAATTATGAGCTATTCTCCCGTAACTGATCCGGAGCTACTCTATGATGGTCAGTTCCAAGACTAACATGCACGATACGAGTATGCTCGGTTCCGGGGGTGTTTCAAATATCATCTTTGCATGTCATTCTTCACTTTTCTCATAAATTTGCTAACATGTGTCGCCATTTAATAGACTCACGTGGTGAGTCTATATTTCACTAATACAGATAGTCCCCCCACTTTTCGATTACTCGTTGTGATGTGACCAGGAAGTGGGAGATTTTATATTTTCCACCCTTGCCGCTGCCTCATTAAAAACCTTGCCAGAAAAATTCAATAGGGACAAAAACTAGGCGAAGGAAAAAAGAGTGCAGAACTTAGGAATTCAGATGACAACTCTGTCACTTATTTTCCTTTCGTCAATGATCTGTTGGTGCTGAAAAACTATCACTACCATATAAAGCTTGATCTTGGATTTTTAATGTTCATCCATAAGTTTTAATCTTTGAGTTTTGACTCATAGATTTTTAGTTGTACCCAAAACTTTTATAACCTCACAACCTTAGAGAACGGGGATGTTAATAACCAAGAAATTTGTACTTCTGGTTTGGATAAAGTCTAGGAATTAATGCATCTGGTTAACTTTTAACCCAAAAAATAGTTTTCAAGGTCAAAACAATAATTTTGTATGATGGGCCACAAGCAACCGATTCAATCCGAAAGATATAAATTTTCATTAATACAACGTGATAGAGAAGTGAAAAATAAATTCAATGACAAATAATGTAATAAAAATAAAGCGGAGAAGAAATAATTCTTATTGAATGATCCTTGATAGGATGATGAGCCGAACAGAGCTTGAAGAGCCGAACTATGGCTAAATTGGGAGCAATGTGCTATGAATTACAATGTATATAATTGTAGAGAAGAAAATTAGATTTCCCTGGTGGTGATAAAAGTGTGTCTATTTATAGGGCTAAATCTAAATAACCATTCTTCTTGAATTATGGGTCCATTATGAGCATTTACTCAATCCATCTGTTACTTTTGGAAGACTTGTAATAGCTGTATAAATGATGGAATTCCGTAACTGATGAGTTAATTCCGTAACTGATGAGTTAATTCCATAATTGATGATTTAATTCCGTAACTGGTGAGTCAATCCCGTGCATGTTGAGTCAATCTTGTGCCTGTTGAGTCAATCTCGTGCATGTTGAGTCAATCCCGTAATTGATTGCCTTGTTCTCACCGTTACAACCATTTATTGCATTTATTGTACGTTACATAATTGATTTGTAACTGATGGCATAATGATGGTAAATCCCATGTAATCCGAGATTAATTGATTCTTTACTCATCTGTAATTATGAGCTATTCTCCCGTAACTAATCTGGAGCTACTCTATGATGGTCAGTTCCGAGACTAACAGGCACGATTCGAGTATGCTCGGTCCCGGGGGTGTTTCACATATCATCTTTATATGTCATTCTTCACTTTTCTCATAAATTTGCTGTCATGTGTCGCCATTTAATAGACTCACATGGTGAGTCTATTTTTCACTAATACAGATAGTCCCTCCACTTTTCGGTTACTCACTGTGATGTGACCGGAAAGTGGAAGATTTTATCTTTTCCACCCTTGCCGCTGCCTCATTAAAAACCTTGCCAGAAAAACCCAATAGGGACAAAAACCGGGCGAAGGAAAAAAGAGTTCAAAACTTAGGAATTCAGATGACAACTCTGTCACTTATTTTCCTTTCGTCAATGATCTGTTGGTGCTGAAAAAGTATCACTACCATAGAAAGCTTGATCTTGGATTTTTAACGTTCATCCGGAAGTTTTAATCTTTGAGTTTTGACTCTTGAATTAATGCATCTCGTTAACTGTTCAACCCAAAAAATAGTTTTCAAGGTCAAAGCAATAATTTTATATGACGGGACACAAACAACCGATTCAATCCAAAAGATATAAATTTACGTTAATACAACGTGATAGAGAAGTAAAAAATAAATTCAATGAAAGATAATATAATAAAAATAAAGCAGAGAGGAAATTATTCTTATTGAATGAACCTTGATAGGATGATGAGCCGAACAGAGCTTGAAGGGCCGAACTATGTCTAACTTAGGAGCAAGATGCTATGAATTACAATGTATATAATTATAGAGAAGAAAATTAGATTCCCCTGGTTGTCATGACACAAAATTCGACCTGCCGTGATAGCGCCTATCTCAATACTAGGTAAGTCGATAACATCAATAACCCCTGATTTTCTTTAAGTTTGAAAAATATAATATTTAAATACAGTAAAAAATCCCACAAATACTTATACGAACACTCCCCAAAACCTAGTGTCACAGAGTACATGAGCATCTATTATGAATAAAAGACTGAAAATACGGTCTATAATAGTCTGAGACCAAATACAGTAAACAAGAAGATATGGAAGGAGAGGTAAGGTCTATGAAATACAGCAGCTACCTCGAAATCTCCGAAAAATCAACTGCGCAAAAGAATCAACATCCGCTATATCCGGGAATATCTGGATCTGCACACGAAGTGCAGGATGTAGTATGAATATAACCAACTCAGCAAGTAACAATAATAAATAAGGAACTGAAGATAGTGACGAGCTACACATTTATAGTTCACTTTCAATAATTCCAGCAAAGAATAGACATGTTTTTAAATCCATCAGTTTAGGTCAAATCAATTCTATACAGTTCAAGTTCATGAATTCCGGATATAAAATCTTCCAGAAAATTTCACAACAATGTCAGATAGCAACTAAGTGCAACAATAAATGAAAAGCAAGTACAGCCTCTCAGGACAATAATCACTCATTAGGCTCTCAGCCTTCAGCACTCACACTCAATGGGTACCCGCGCTCACTAGAGTGTACAGACTCCGGAGAGCTCCTACAGTCCAAGCGCTATAATCTGCACAGACAACTCGCGTATTGCACGGACAACTCATGTGCCATAGTATAAATATCTGGATCCGCACGTACAACTCATGTGCTGCACGGACAACTCACGTGCTATAGTATAATATAAGGATCCGCACAAACAACTCACGTGTTGCATGGACAACTCACGTGCTATAGTATAATATCTCACAATCAGGCCCTCGACCTCACTCAGTCATAAATCTCTTCCGTCTCTCGCGCTCTCAATAGTCATGATAATCAGTCCAAACAACAATGATATGATGCATTAATAATGAACAATATAGACTGGGATAAAATAAATAAGTAAACTGTGACTAAGTACAAAATAACAATTAAGCAGATAATTCAACATGTACACGACCTTTGTGGGTCCCAACAGTACCAACATATAGCCTAAACATGGTTTCTAACATGACTTACAGTCAAATTTCCACAACACATAGAGAGCACATAGCTAACAATAAATTATTCAACTTTACAGTTTCTACGGGACGGACCAAGTCACAATCCCCTCGGTGCACGCCCACACGTCCGTCTCCTAGCATGTGCGTCACCTCCAAAATAATTTCATGGCACAAAAATCCGGGGTTTCATACCCTCAGGACCAGATTTAAAACTGTTACTTACCTCAAACTGTGAAATTCTTTACTCTGCAATGTCTTTTCCTACTTGTCACGACCAAAAAATCCCACCACAGACGTCGTGATGGCACCTAGTCTCTAAGACTAGGTAAGACGATTTAAATTACCTTTTGAAGCCATTTTTTTTATAGAAACTAACAGCGAAAATAATTACAATACACAACCTCCCAAGACTGGTAGTACTGAGTCACTAACTCTAACTGAATACATGGAATGATCACGAGGACCGAATGTACAATACTGTTTGATTACAAACTAACAATACAATAAAATGAAAAGACTCCAAGGGACTGCGACGGCCAAGCAGCTCTACCTTGAATCCTTACGATCGCGCTTTAACTCTGCTCAAGTCCGATATCTCCAATACTTGGCTCTGCACAAAAATATGCAGAAGTATAGTATGAGTATACCACGGTCGGTACCCAGTAAGTATCAAATAACCTCAGTGGAGTAGAGACGAGGTACAGTCAAGACACTCACTAGTCTAATAACTTGTGCAATATAATATACAAAATAATAGTAAACAAATAACAATAAGGGCAGGATAAAACAACCAGTGATATGCACAGCACACAACAAGAATACCATTAATATCACTC